CATCTTCCCCAGTAGGAGTGATCTCCCCACCCCCCTTCCCACCTCCCTGTGACAGCTAGAGAACCCGTCATAGCATCAGTAGTACCAGCTTCTTTCCCCTCCCCATCGCTCCCTCCAAACAGACGCTGCTGGGAGACTGGTCAGAGCTGCTTCCTAGGCTTCTGCGCTAAGTGAGAAAAACAGAGAGAGCACAGAAAGCTAAATATCAAATAAGGAAAAAAATGGTCATTAGGCTCTGTCTTTAGGGGGAGGGGGTATTTCTGTTTTCTATAAGTTTCATACCATAAAGCAGTTCTTGCAGACACTTCCCTGTGCTGAGATTTGACTCCTGTCCATCGCGGCAGCATCCTCCCCTCTGACTAGTGCATTCTCCCCCCCCCACTCCCCCCCCCCCCCCCCCCCCCCGTGGGCCTTGTCGCTCGGTGCTGGTTCTGAGGCAGCAGCTGGTAGGGAAGAAGGAATCCAGTACCAGGAGGACTAACTAGAGCAGACACAGAGTAAAAGCACATCGACAGCAGTGAGTCAGGCAGCTCGAGGAAGTCAGTGCTGGGACCCGGGTCCAGGTGGGCAGGGTGTGGGATACGGATGCTCCAAGCCCTGAAGCTGACAGCAGATGTGAGGCCAGATCTGAGCTGGGGCCCGGGGACCACGGATAACAGTCAGCTGGGTGGACAGTGGCCCCTCCTGGTCCATTCAGACAAGATGTGCTGTGGGCGGGGCTGAAGGCTCAGGAGGTGAGACAGGAGCCTGGACAGTGAGAGAGGACCCTGGAAACAGGCAGCTCTTCAAGTTGAACTTCATCTTTTTCCTCCTTCCTTTCCATCCAGAAATAGTCTGAGTTAATGGGCCAGGGCAAATAGTGCTTCTGAAAAGCTAAATTCTGGCAGCTTGGTTTTTCTTTTATTCTCATCTTTTTCCTTGGCCCCTATACACTAAGTGATTTTTCAGATATTTTTATCGGGACACCCAGCCGGTGTGGGTCAGTGATTGAGCATCAACCTATATACCTGGAGGTCACAGTTCGATTCTTAGTCAGGGCACATGGTCCGGGGTGCAGGCTTGATCCCCAGTGTGGGGTGTGCAGGAGGCAGCCGTTCAATGATCCTCTCTCATCGTGGATGTTTCTATCCCTCTTTTCCTCTCCCTGCCTCTCTGAAATCACTAGCTGGTTTATTTTCTCCTTTCTAGAAAGATCTTATTTGTCTTGATCACTTCTGTATTTCTTGTACTAGTACAATGCCTGGCGTGTAGTAGACACTCAGCATCTTTTTATTTTTATTTTAATTTTTACATTCCATATGAATGAGAAGAAAAATTTGCTATGCTTTTTTGTTTTTATCAATATATATATATGTGGTTAGCTTTATCTTAGCTAATTTATTTTGATGAACTTATAGATTGATCCGATCTCACCAGACCTCCACGAACAGGTTATCCTGTATAATGAAACTACTTTCTATCTTGATCCTAAAGTAACTGGTTGAAATGTCTGGTTGAAATCCTGTGTACACTCAACTTCTCATAGTATGAAAGGTACAAAAGAGTGTAGATTGTGTCAGAATATGCAAGTTTCAGGAGAAGTGCCTGGATTGGTAGGAAACTAGCAGTGCGATTGAGTTTCTAGCAGCTCCTCACTGATGACTTAGCACAAAGGATCTTCTTGGCAAGAAAAGGGGAGAGATGAGCTGCCAGATTTTAGGGATGAAAGGAAGGAATGTGTGACAAGGAAATGAGCCATGAAAAGGAGGGAGTCTGGACATGTTAACTATAGGATCATCAGACGTTAGCATCATCTGAAGATAGGAAGAAGGGTCTAACAGAAAAAGAATGCTGAGCAGTGATGGGAAAGGAAGAGATTGTGGCTGTAACCCCTAGGGAATGGGGGAATCAAAGACACAGGATGGATTCGGAGAGGACAAACATTTGGAGACCATGTTTTCATTCAATAGAAGTAAAAGGAAGAATAAAGCCAGATGGTGCCTTTTTTAAAAAAAATTGAGGGAAAATTCGCATAACATTCACCATTTTAGCCACTTGAGTGTACAGTTCAGTGGCTTTTAGTACATTCACAAGGTTGTGCAATCCTCAGCAGTGTCTAATTTCAGGGCATTTTAATCGCCGCCAGAATAAATCTCACTCCCATTAGGCAATCACTTCCCGACCTTCCCTCCCTCTCCCCCTGGCAACCCCTAGTCTGCTTTCTGAGCAAAGAGTTGGCTTATTCTGGATATTGCACAGAAATAGGATCTTGCAACATGGGGCCTTTTGTGACTGGCTACTTCCACTCAGTATTATATGTTCAAGGTTCATCCATGACATAGCGTGTGTCAGCTCTTCATTCCTTTTTGTGACGAAATAATGTGTCATTGTGTGCATTTATTTACTCACTCATTTGTTGATGGACATTTGGGTTGTTTTGCCTTCTGACTATTGTGAGTAGCATTCTGCTATGAGCACTTGCTACCATGATAAATTATAAAACATCTCTCCTGCCTCCATTCTGAGCTCCCTTTTGTCTAACAATTTTGTCTACATTTTAAATTTAAAAATTGACTACACCTAGGTCATACAAATTCTTTGTTAAGTATTCAGAGCCATTTATTCCACTGAATTCTGAATTTTTAAAAAAAATATATATTTTATTGATTTTGTACAGAGAGGAAGGGAGAGAGATAGAGAATTAGAAACATCGATCGATCAGCTGCCTCTTGCACACCCCCTACTGGGGATATGCCTGCAACCAAGGTACATGCCCTTGACTGGAATCGAACCCGGGTCCCTTCAGGCCCCAAGCCGATGCTCTATCCATTAAGCCAAACCGGTCTCGGCTAATTCTGAATTTTTAAAATGCAGTTAGAAGTGTAATGCCCTTAAAGTATGTAGACAGTGTTAGCTTTTGAGGTCTTCTTTGCTTTCTCAGGCAAGTTGTCACAAATGGATGTTTTTATACCTTCACACAGAAATGATGATACGAAATTCCAGCTGGCTACGCATTGCTACCATTAATTTCTCAAAGCCCATGGGGATGGGCTTTTAAGGCTGCTTCCTCCAAGCAGTGGTACTTTCCACTTGTCTGGAAAATAAATAAAAGTTACTTCTCTGACAGATATGTGTACAGCATCTCAGTGCATTAAAGGGAATCTGTAGAATGTCATCTGACAACTCTCTATACAACTCCACTCCTGTCCTAAAAGCATTACTACTTTGTGTTTATGTCTTTGTATCCGAAGTGATTTGGAGAGATTGATTATATTTTATTAGAAACTGCTGGTGCTTAGATGTTTGAGACAGTCAAGGTTTGGAAATCCATCTTGAGTATGATTAAAATTAAAATCAGAAAATCAGAAAATTGAGGTAACTTGTAAGTTAACATGCCAATGAGGTCCAACATGCAGGTAATCATCAGCACATGGCTATGTTTATCTTCCACTTTCCATCTTGAGTTGGATTTTTTTTCTAGTTGTAATGATAAAAATATGGAGATAAACCAGTAAATTGGGAGTTCAGTGACTTGAGTTAGAAAATTTTAAGATAGCTCAGATAACTTGAGTAGCTCTGATTTGCCTTCTGCTCAACTGGGGTCAGAGGCAGAGCACATAGAAAAACATACTTAGTATTCTTTCCTGCTTGTTGTTAAACGAATTCCAATGTTTAGCGAGATGAAGCAGGTTTGTCCCTTCTGTGTATGTGCTTCCGTGTGTTATTAAAATTCCTATTTGATCTAAATGTGATAACATACAATTTGTTCTTTTTGTATTCTATTGAATCTATTGGGATGACGGTTAATAACATTATATAGGTTTCAGGTGTACAATCTATAATGCATCATCTGTATGCTGTATTGTGTGTTCACCAGCCTAGGTTACCAACGGCTCTTAAAGCAAAAATAATTTGAATACTGAGCAGTTCTTGAAACTAAAGTTACATTTGAATTAAATACTAGGTAACAAGGCCAGCTAGTGCTAAAATTCCCAATTTTAGTCATTTTGAAAATCTGCCATCTGCCTTAGTCAATGTGAACTTGAGAACTTATCAGAGAGATTTTTTTTGTCTGATCATTACACAGTTTTTTAGAAATTACCTTAAAGGCATTTTCCCCTTTTAAAACAGAATTGCTTCTCCTTCGTTATATTCTGAAGTGTCTTTCTACAAAGTGTTAATTCACAAGGATATTTTTCTTGATTGTACAATCAGGGCCACCACTCATTTCTGCCAATAATAAGCATTGAGAGCACAGTAGAGCCTATGGAATATTCCAGTTGATGTAGTTAACATTTCTTCAGTCTCTTTGGCAAAATCAGAGTCTATTATGAGCCAGGAAATGAATAAGACCCAGGTCTTGCCTTTAAAAGCACATGATTGTTGGTCTCTGTATTTAGAATATTTCAAAAGTGTCCACCAGAGACAACCTGCTTATTCAAAATCTGTAATATGTGTGATAAATTGCATTTCAGGCAAAGGCTGTGAGTGATTTTAGGTGCATGTAGTTTGAGAATCATGCTACACCCTGTACAGAGATCATACAATAAAGTCCGTTATTTGAGAACTTAGTTATATGCATACATTCAACTCATGTATGTAAATGTTCAACATTTGTGAGGGAAGGAACACATAAAATCCATCATGCATTTATAGTTTCCCAACATACTTCTCAACAATAATAGAACAGACACAAACTGGAACAAGAGGAAATGATATGTTTTTTAACTTTGCGTTAGTACAGTGTTCATAATATCTTTTACCAAATGATGTGTAACACTCTGAATATTTCTTATTAGCAAGCAGTACATTTGCTAAGCATTCAGAAAATCACATGTATGTGAGCTGCCACTGCCCAGTTACTGCCCAGCTTTCTCTCCACATGGATGTTACCTTGTCATTAAACAAGTTTGCTTGCATGATTGAAATTAATGTAGAATATTTTTATTTGCCCCTGAAGTTACTGATAACATTCACATATTAACCTGCCTTTTCATTTATAAAACGTTCTTCTCCCCCAGGTGTTTGGAGTGGATGACAGTCAGGATTATAACAGGCCTGTGATCAATGAGAAGCAGAAAGACCTGATCAAAGACTGGGCCCTCAGCTCTGCCGCAGTGATGATGGAGGACCGGAAGCCACTGGGCACACCTGGGTTTCACCACACGGAGGTACCGTCTTGCCCTTGGCTTCACTTCTTACACGCACAGACGTGAATCTCCATCATTTAAAATGTTTTTCTGTTTGTTTTTAAATATAATTGTAGCGATTTCAGAGAGGGAGAAAGAGGTAGAAATATCAATGATGAGAGGGAATCAAGGATCGGCTGCCTCCTGCACGCCCCACACTAGGTATCGAGCCCACAACCCGGGCATGTGCCCTGACCAGGAATCCAACTGCGGCCTCCGGGATCACAGTGAAGGAGTCTCCTAAACAGGCCACCGGAACCTATTCGCAGACTGGTCCTACAGCAGTGTGTGCCCCTGGGCGCACTGTATTCTGGGTATCCCAGCTTGATGTGAATGGCTGAGGTACTTCTTTCAGGATCAGAACGCTGGGTGGTTACCACAAACTCTTAAAAGGGAATTCAGAGGTTCAGCAAGAATTCCTTATGTTCCATATGTTATTATGTATACTTTCTATTTCAATGTATAGGGCTTATAAATGTATAGAGTTTGAAATCATATATAGAGAGTTTATACGAAATATTTACTTCAGCAGTTTCTAGCCTGTCCTTCATACAGTGACTCTGGCACTTTTAATAAAATGTCATTTTGAATGATTTAAAATACATTTTCAGTCACAGCTTCTTATTCCTTAGATGTCTTTCCAGTTTCAATATGAAGCCTTGGCTTAGACTTTAAGAGAGGAAACCATCTTTTTCCACACTCCCTAGCATTTCCATATTAAATGCCTCGATGGTGCTGGTGTGAAGAATTGCCATTCTCTGTCCATAAGTCTGTGGAACCACATCATGAATTAAATTCCATCTCACACTTGACCACGAGGGTTCAAAGATCACTGCTTTAAGAGTAGATCTAAACATGGGCACGTTTAGGTTCAGATCAATTATAGGAAAATTCTCCAAGGTCAAGTAATTTCTATCCTTAAAGTGTTCTAGAAAGAAGTCTTAAGGTTTGGTTTTGGTTTGAAATCCCTGAAGGCAAGACCTGGAGGGTTTAATACTCTTTGAGGCTCTGGAAGCAGTCTGATTCCTAGAAACATGAAGAAGGCTAGAGAAGAGCTTAGGAATAGACCTTTAGACTCCTGCTCCGAAGACTGAATAGAGCTAACTCCCCTGTTAGAGTCACAGAGCTCTGATCATACACCTAGCAGCATAAACATTAAGCTCCAGAGTTTATATTAGTACCATTGTGAGTCTTTCAAATGTTGAACTATACTGCATGCACAGCAATAATAAAATGTTGTCATTCAAAGGGGTACCCAGAGAAGCTGCATTTTATAGTAGACTAGAGGCCCAGTGCATGAAGTTTGTGCACTGGGCTGGGGTGGAGGGGGAAGGAGGGGGCATCCTTCCACCAGGCCTGCACCCTCTTGCAGTCCGGGAGCCCTCAGGGGATGTCTGACAAGGCAGTAGGACATCCTTAGCGCTGCCGAGCAGATGGGAGAGGCTCCTGCCACCACCGCTGCGCTTGCCAGCTGTGAGCCTGTCTTCTGGTTGACTACCAGGGGGCAGCTCCTGTGTTGAACATCTGCCCCCTTGTACGGCACGTCATAGCGACCGCTGTTCAGTTGATTTGCATATTAGCCTTTTATTATATATGATGAGGAAATTTAATCAAAGATAATATAGGAATCTGAGGTTTAAGTATTGACAGGTTAATGTGACTAACTGGAATTCACTTCCATGAGAATCAGGTTTGGCCAGACTGCATTATTATATTCCCTTGTTTTCTCCCTTAGGAAGGCACCACTGCATCTGGAAGCAAGCGCTGGGTTTCACAGTGGGCCAGTCTGGCTGCCAATCACACGAGGCATGACCCAGAAGAAAGGGTCATGGAATCGTCTGTCCCTGCTCCTTTAGAGAATGGTACTTTCTGTGTGTGTCTGTGTGAATAACACATCAGTTTTAAAAACAAGCTACCAGTAAATCTATATAGCGAGCAGTAAATTAATCCCAAGTAAGCATATTCACATATGTTCATGCTTATGCTCCATATATCATTTTAATTTCACTAACGTGGAAATCATTAACATCAACTCACACTGGCGATAGAGATAATTTGTAGATTAAGCACATAATACATACAAGTATATATAATGTATATGAAAATTTAAAAAGACTAACACAATTCCAAAGCATCCCATACAACAAATATTTAAATGCTACTTTCTGTCATCTACACTAATAAAAAAGTAAGATGCAAATTGACCATACCTTCACAATGCCCAGCAGCCAGCTGATCAGGGGTATGCAAATTAACCCAGCAAAGGTGGCAGGTTAATTTGTATATGCAGGCGCCAGACGGCCTGGGGTAGGGAGGGATGCTTGCTCTGGCCAGAATGAAGGCCCATTCTTGCATTAATCTTCATGCATTGGGCCTTTACTATGTCAATAAAAAACAATTTACTTAATCTACTAACTGCATCTTTTGTAAATCTATGTAATGTGATTTTTATTCCCTTTTAATTATATATCTGCAAAGTGAAATATAGGGTTTAAAAAAAAGCACACAAAATTATATGCCTCTAATGATATTATTAGATTTAGTTCATTACATTCTTAATTTAAAAAACCCTCAAGGAGAATTTGCATGTGGTTTTGATCCAGTATTTTTTGTTATCCTTAGAAATGGAAATAGAAATGTATTTTGTCTCTGGCTTGTGGCACCCTCACAGTCTGGTTTAGGAATTTTGTAAACATTAGTCAGCAATTGTTTGAAAGCTGTAGCCTTCACCAGTCAGGAATTGTAGTAGTTGTTAGTATGGCCAAAAGTGTTTGGAAAGACAGAGTGATTTACAGGTTGGTTCAGAGAAACTAGTCCATGATTGGGAAACAGAGACTAGACCGAGGAGCTAGGTACATTTACAAAAAGAATCTATATATATAAAAAGCCAGCGACTGTAATTGTCATCATGACCATAATGACCGGTCGCTTTGACACCCTTTGTGGCCAGCAAAATGGCGATCAGGGCATGGGGCCAGCTGGGCAACCTTGCAACCCCTCCCCACTTCCGGCCTGCCCCTAATCGGATTCTCCCATCCTGATCAAGAGCTGGCTTCCAGCCATTACCACCCCCCAGCCACCTGTCCCTGATTATACTACCCACCCCAATAGGGGGTAGGGCTGGCTGGCCAACCTCCTGCAGCCCCTTCTTCAAGCTGGCCACACCCCCAGTGGCCCCACCATCCTGATTGGCCTGCAGCCCCTCCCCAGCACAGCCCCACCCAAGATCGGCCTTCCCACACCCCATCAGGATCAGGGCCAGCCAGCCAACCACCCATGGCCCTCCCCCAAGCTGCTGGCCCCCATTCAGCATCTCCCACCCCATTCAGGCCTACCACTCACAGTCCCTCCCCATAGCTGGCCTCGCCCCCAATTGACCCTCCAACCCCAATCAGGGGCAGGGCCTGCTAGCCAATTGCCTGGGGCTCCTTCCCCCAGATGTCCCAGCCCTGATCAGGCCCAATAAGGGCAAGCCAGCCAGCCTGCCAGCCTCCCACCATCTCCTTCTCCCAATAGACCCAGTCTCAATCCACCCAGATTGGAGCCAGGCTGGTCGGATGCCACCCATGCTGAATTTGTGCACTGGGCCTCTAGTTCACTACAAAATTATTACGTATTAACTGTGGAAAGTAATGTTCTACCCTTGTTATAAGAAATAGTAGATGCCCTGGCCAGTTTGGCTCAATGGATAGAAGGGCCCTATGTTCCAATCTGGTCAAGGGCATGTACCACAATTTGTCTCTGTCTCTATCACTCCCATCCACTCTCTCTACAATAGGAAAATATCCTCAGGCGAGGATTAACAACAACAAAAAGAAATAGTAGACCTTCATTACCTTATTCTTATTGTAAATTAATTTATTTAGATGAGTTCACAAATCCATTTAAATATAAAGTGTTCTTTTAAATATTTGTCCAGGGTGAGAAATGCTAGAAATATATAAAAACGATAAAATAGCTATTACATTTTAGATGCTTCAAGTAGCAAGGAGATAAGACATTAAATAATTTATGATTAATTGCCCAAAGTTAAATCAGTAAGTTTAATATTTTCTGGCATCATAATCATTGTATTGCCATGAAATTTAAATAGTAAACTTTTAGAATTGTAATGGGGAACAAAAGACCTATAAAAGCTATAGCTAGCATATTTTCCCCCACTTCTAAGATTAGATGCTCTGTGTGTGAATTTATATTTCTCTGAAAGATGTATCCCTCATTTTGAAACACATTCCATTTATTCAGGAAAATCCCCCGTAAGTATTTTCAAGTTCTCTTACATGGAAACATTAACATATGTGTTTTCTCACTGGCTTCTGATTATTTGAAAAAGAGAAAGTGGTCATGTATTTCTCTATGAGGCCTTCATACACCAGACAACCATAATTTAAAACCCTTGCATTGGTAAAATTATGACAAGTCCTATCAGCTTTATTCATACTTAAAATTGAAAAAATTCTTTTAATCAGCTTTGAATTTTATTTTTAGAAAATTTTGTTAAAGTCTTGAGTTTTCTGGTTGACTTTGGAAATCCAATTTATTCTCTCGGGTAGATAAGATGCTTATTAAAAACTAGGTATATTATTCTTCTTTACCACGTCATGGGAAGTATAGCAAGGAAGCAGGTTTATTAGGCATTCTTTGTGCAATTCTGTAATCTGCTAGTTAGAGTCTGTTGTCTTGAGCAGAACTTAGTGGATGGGATAAGCCACAGAAGCAAGAGCAACCACAGTGAGCTTCCATAAAACACGTTAAAAGACAAGGAAACAGCAGACGTACGTTTCAGATCTGACGACCTTCATTTTCTTTTTCTTTTTTTTTTTTTATATATTTGCAAAAGGTCCTTATTTTATTTTATTTTATTTTATTTATTAATTTCTTTATTGATTAAGGTATTACATATTTGTCCTCAACTCCCTATTCCAATCCCCCACTCCCATCCCTCACTCAAGCCCCCACCCACCTATTGTCCTTGACCACTGGTTAGGCTCATATGTGTGCACATAAGCCCTTTGGTTGATCTCTCCCTTTTATCCCCACCCTCCCTTTGAGGTCCAACAGACTGACCCAAGGCTCCTTGTCTCTGGGTCTGTTCTTGTTCCTCAGTCTATGGTGTTCACCATTTCCCCTAGATGAGTGAGATCATGTCCTACTGGAAATATACTTATAAGAATCAAAAATGAGACAAGCAATAATGGTTATGCTGAAAGGCATATGAATCAGTCTGTAGTGAGCTTCTTTCTGGGCCACCAGTTCTTTTGAGACCCAGTTTCAATGTCAAAGAGACGACCCTCATTTTCATCTCGTCCAGTTTACTTTCCTGCCTCTCTGGTCAGTCACCTGCCTGCTAAGCGCACTTGGCCCTGGACTTGCCTTTTACACTACCCTGTCACAATGCTGGCTTATTTAGTCAAAGTTTTATTTTACACTTAAGCCATTGCTTCACTTACACTTCAAACCCTAGTGTAACATGGTGTTATTTGTATTTTCACTGCTGACCCTGATTTCTGCCTTGTGGTTCTTCTTCGCAGACGCGGACATCAGCGAGTCTGGCGTTTCGGTGAGAAGTGGCGGCTCCGCGGCCTCCCTGGCTGGGCATGGAGAGAGGCGGCGGCGGACCCTCCCCCAGCTGCCCAACGATGACAAGGCTCTGGAGGGCTCCCGAGCCAAGGCCCTGACGCCCAGGTCGGAGATCGGGGAGAAGCAGGACACGGAGCTGCAGGAGAAAGAGGCCCCAGCGCAGGTATACCAGAAGGACAGACAGGATGCCGACAGGGCCCTGGGCAAGGGGACCAGGGCGGTCAATGGGGAGACCCTGAGACCTGGCGGCGATCCCAAAGCCCTCCTGCACTTGGCCATCTCCTCCCCTGGGAAGGAGAAACATGAACCCGACAAGGAAGCCTCTTTGGTGAAGCAAACGTTAGCCAGAATCCAGCTCCAGGAGCCGACGGAACAGGCCCACTGGGCGCCTACTAAATTATCTTCCAAAAATGCGTCGGGTCCGCTAGAGAGAGGCAGGGAGGAGTCCCTCAAACAGGAGTCACAGCCTCCGGAGAAAACCCCAGGACATTCTGCCGGCAAAGGAGAGAGGGCCATGCCAAGTGAGGGCAAGCGGAGGAAGGCCGAGGAGCTTCTGAAGGGCCATGCCGCCAAGGCAGGGGACAAGAAGGAGTCCTCCAGGCCCTTGGTGCGACAGGGAAGCTTCACCATCGAGAAGCCCAGCCCCAACGTCCCCATCGAGCTGATCCCCCACATCAACAAGCAGCCGTCCTCCACACCCCCTCCCTTGGCCTTGGCCAACTCCGCCGGCAGACTGCGCGACAGGAGCGACCCCGTGGATGCTGACTCCAGCCTGGACACGACCCTCATCCTCAAAGACACAGAGGCCGTCATGGCTTTCCTAGAAGCGAAGCTTCGAGAAGACAATAAAACCGACGAAGGCCCGGACACCCCCAGTTACAACAGAGACAACTCCATCTCCCCGGAGTCTGACGTGGACACGGCCAGCACCATCAGCCTGGTGACCGGGGAGACGGAGAGGAAGTCATCCCAGAAGCGCAAGAGCTTCACCAGCCTCTACAAGGACAGGTGCTCCTCGGGCTCGCCGTCCAAGGAGGCCTCCAAGTCCTCCGGCGCCAGGGACAAGGTGGAGAAGAAAACCAAAAGCCGCTCCACGGAGGTAGGGCTCAGAGCCGACGGGCGGAAGTTTGTCCAGTCCAGCGGACGCATGAGACAACCATCGGTGGACCTCACGGACGATGACCAGACCTCCAGCGTACCTCACTCTGCCATCTCTGACATCCTGTCCTCCGACCAGGAGACTTACTCCTGTAAACCCCTCGGGAGGACTCCACTGACCTCGGCTGATGAGCATGCACATTCCAAGCTGGAGGGAAGCAAGGGGACCAAGGCCAAGACTTCCCCCGTGCCCCCCGGCTCGGCCAGCAAGTCCACCACCCTCCCCCGGCCCCGGCCCACCAGGACTTCCCTCCTGCGCCGAGCACGCCTTGGGGAAGCCTCAGACAGTGAGCTTGCCGATGCTGACAAGGCATCCGTGGCTTCTGAAGTGTCCACGACAAGTTCAACGTCAAAGCCGCCCTCAGGAAGGCGGACCATCTCGAGGATCGACTTGTTGGCTCAGCCCCGGAGAACCAGGCTGGGCTCCCTGTCCGCTCGCAGCGACTCGGAGGCCACCATCTCGAGGGGTAGCGCCTCCTGCAGGACCGCGGAGGCCATCATTCGGAGTGGAGCCAGGCTAGTCCCGTCGGAGAAATTTTCTCCGCGAATTCGGGCCAACAGCATCTCTCGGCTGTCAGACTCCAAGGTCAAAAGTATGACCTCCACGCATGGCTCGCCTTCAGGTAAATAGGATCCAGATGTTTTATAGTGCTAGCATATTTTTGTTGTGTTGTGGGACTCCTGTTTTAAACAATTAAGTCTCCACTGTTGCTTCCCCAGAATTCAGCAGAAAGGTTACTCTAGAGAGTGTTTTTTTTTTCCTATAAAAATTACTTTAGCTTAGTGAGTAGAAAATTCAGAAGTTACATACACTTCCAATCAATGTCCTGCAGTAAAATAGAGATTTCAAAGTTAGACATATCCTGAACCGGTCTCGGAGATTTAATTGTCTAGTTGGTGAGAGATCTGGATTTGTCTGTCAAAATTAGATAGGAATTATCTGGTTTCGATCAGATGAATTAGCATTTTGCTTCTAAAAGTATGTGTTTTAACTTTCCAATATCCTCACCTAATCCCAAGCCCTTATGAACCTGCAGAAAGGCATTCTGCCTTTTGTTACTCCTTTCAGAGCTGAATGAAATCATCAATATTTTACCCCTTTTTTCCCCTCCTATTTATTTTGAAATATCATGTGCCTTACTGATACTTTTAAATTAAGGTGACCAGACGTCCCGCTTTTGGCGGGACAGTCCCGATTTTTAACTATTTGTCCCGTGTCCCGTGACATCTGGTCACCTTATTTTAAATTGATGGTCAGGCAGGTGAAACTAACCCTTGATTTATTTCAGTGGAAGAAGAGGGATTCGATAAGAAGTCCCTAAGTCCTTGGTCAGTGTGGGCTATAGAAATACAGCTTCTGAGCATCATCTCACAAAGCATTATCCTATTGAACCACACGACCAGCAGTCATTAACAGAATCTTTATAAATACTGTACATCCCCCACCAGATTGTAGCTGCTGCTGGCACGTTTGTCCGTTTCTGTGCTTCACATGGAGAGCTGAACCCGTGGAAATACTTGTGGCCCCTTTGGCCCTGAGACAGACATCTGTGTGTCCTGTGGACCTGGTCTTATTACTTCATAATCGGCTCAGGGGTGGGTGTGGCTGAACAGGCCCGCCTGAGGGTCGGGGAGAGCCAGCTGTTAAAAACTTAGAGGTCCGTTATCCTCAGTCAGCAAGCACCTCAGTGAGCGCTGAGTCCAGGGTGAGAATGATGGGGAGGTCGGTGGGCAGTCTTTTTATTTTTACATCTGCACAGTAGAGGCTGCAAGACCCAAAACTAAGCACTGTCGTGTGCTACTTGTTTTCATTTTTATTCCTCCTCTTCTCTCTTCACTGCTGCTTCCTCCACACTATTCGCCTTCCCATCTCTGTCCTGGTAGGGGGTGTGGTGATGGTGGTCGTACCCGTGGTAGGAATGAGTATAGGCTGAAGATAGCGTATACTCATGATTCCACAAAGAATACATGCATTTTCCCCATTGCCCCACCCTCTTGTTTGCACACTTCAAGTTTTAGTTGGTAGTTCATAGATTGATTGCCAACTATTTTTAAAAGTTTTTTTTTTTTATTGATTTTAGAGAGAAAGGGAGAGGGAGAGAGAAATATTGATGTGAGAAGAACACCCATCAGCTGCCTCCTGCATGCCCCCCCTACTGGGGATCAAGCCCACAACTTGGGCATGTGTCCTGACTGGGAATCAAGCTGGTGATCTCTTGGTGCATGGGTTGACGCTCAATCCACTGAGCCACACCAGCCAGGCTGATTACCAAGTATTTTAAACTAATTAGTACTATCTCTTGGTTTATGTTTACTCAGCGTATTTCTGTTGTTCCTAAGGCTCTACCTCTTCAACTCATGCTTTGTGCCCCATTCTGTGGGGTGTCCTCTGATAAAACTGTGTGTTTTGTTACCTCGTTTCTTAGTTCAAAAACCTGTCGCCACTCCCCTGTCCTGACATGGGTCACCTCTGCCTCTGTCCTCCTTGTAGCTCTTAACATGAGAGCGAGCTGGGACTGCTCCTCAGTGTCTAACCCAAGGGCTTATTTGAGATGCAGAGCAGATGTGATGACTTCAGCAAGTCTAAGAGACGCTGTAAGAGGTCAGATTACACTCACGTCTTTCAGGATGAGTTTTGTTCCTGCTTCTTTGAACACAGAGCTTGACAAACATGCAGTTTTCTATGTCCTTAAATTACCTGGATTGTTCACTGGCATTCTCTAAGGCAAATCGAGGTATGAGATTTTGGCCTTCTTCAGACTTAATAGCAGTGTATTAAATAATTAAAATCATGGGTGTTAACAGCTAGCAGAGTTAGGTAGCTAGAGCAAGAGATGAAATCACCTGCTCTGGTCACATAACTATGAAGGGACTCCATTGGGTTATTATCAGGGGCACATACAAGGCCAGCACACAACATGAAAGTCTTTGTAATTCTGATGTTTTCCCAAGTTCATGTTCCTCCTGATGCCACATTCCCAGTCAGGACCTGGGATTGTACATCCAGAATCTCTCAAGATGCACACTTATATTTTATCCAGAAAGACAGTGGCCAGAACATGGCAGTCAGTGGTAAAATATTCAAGTAGCTACATGGGGTAGGTAGTTAAAAACAGACAAATATACTTTAAATATTGCTAATTAAATTGTCTTTGATATTATGATATTTATACTTAAGATAATCATAATATCTTGAGTGAAAAAAGAAAATTCTTAGCTTCTGAATTATGATTTAAAGAAATATGTGTTCAGTGTTGCTATGCACATTATAAACTTTAAAAATCTTTGAAATATCTGAACCTAGAGCCTGTAATAGAGTCCAAGTTGGCATATGTAAAAATAATTCCATAATAATTCAGATTTCATATTTTAAGCTATCCCTAAAAAAGTTTTTCAAATAAATATATATGATAAAAACAAAAGAATGGAAATCTCTGGTTTAGCAAAATTAAGAATGAAGGTTTTTTTTTTTTTTAATAATTCTTTAATTCTAATGTAATATACTTCTAGTTTTACTAGTTTTTTTTCTCAAAAAATATTCCTTCAATTAACCTTTAATATTGTTATATAGAAATGTCCTGATCTATATTAAAAATATATATTTTAAACTAAGTTCCCTGAATTGTCAAAATAAAGCAGTTGATTTTCATTATATTTTAAGTACACGTTTAAAAAAAAAACCACAACACATTAATATCCTTAGATTTTTTTTTTAGATTGCTTTCCCTTTTTTATTCTAGTCCTCAAAATTTATAGATGGGTGGTATTAAATGTTGGATATTTATGGCTTAAGTTATTTGTCAGGGATCTTTTCCTCAGTGATCTTATTGCTACATGCTCATAAAAACACATATGAAACATGTTTGTGGTTTAATTTCCCACAAAAGTATTATTATATGAAGTAGGAACGTGTGGTGCCTGTTGTCTGAAATGCTTTTGTTACATCTATAAATGTGCATGTGTTTTAAAGGCAACAAGTTTTGGCACCAATAAAAGAAATCAGACCATTCATAGGTAAATGATTCTAATAACTTTTCCATTTTTTAATTTTCTAGATCATGGTATGTTTTTATAATGACTAGTTAATTACTTCCACAAGAAGGGAGTGTTGCATAATTGTGTAACTAAAACTTATAATTAGTGTAGCTGAGATAACTTTCAGGTTAACTATGAAACTAATTAAGCCCATCTTAGAACTTTCTCTCAGTTTATTATATTATGTGCATCATCACACCAACCCAGAAACCTCTCTCGGAGACTGGCCTTTCAAATACCTCCATACATATTTCCAATCTAATGATTTATCTGAAATGCCTTAGTAATGCCAAGATATCAAATAAGTCTAATGATACCAAATTAAACTTAATTCTATAAATGATTTTACCTAAGCAGAATAAAATTCAAGAGGCTGGAGTAACATTTTTCTTCAACACAGGTAGAAATCTGAAAGTCTATTGTTCTATGAGAAATTGAGGATGACTTTAAAAAAAAATAGTCTAACTGGAAATATTTCAAAAAAATAGATATTTTCTAGCATTTACTTGTCATGCAATCAGACTAGTAAGAGATGAGTTTTGAACTCGGAATCAGTAGACTGGGCTTTGCGTTAAACAAGACAGGGCCTCTCTGGGTTTTCTCTTCTCTTTTTAGGCAATCTAATGTCTAAGGCCATTCTGTTCTACAATTCCGTGAAATACGTAGGCATTGGAGGGAGTTAAAAACACTCTAATTTGAAGTTTCTTTTGCAAGAGCTAGCAGATCATGGAGATTTTCTTCAGATAAATGTATAGCTGCTGTACATATACATTATATCTAACTCCAGCTAGATAAGACCTATCCTGGAGAGAATGATTGGCACAGTAGGTTAAAGTTTTAAGTAGTAGATATTGTCTTAGTTCATTTGGGCTGTTAAAATAAAATACGACATATACTAGATGGCTTATAAACACAGAAATTTATTCCTTACAGTTCCAGAAGCTGGAAGTCCAAGATCAGGGTGCCACCATGGTTAGTTAGGTTCTGGCGAAGGCCCTCTTCTGTGTTGCAGACTGAATGGGTAAAGGATTCTAAGGGCGACTCTTTCATAAAGATACTTGGAGTCAAAAGCAAGCAGTAATCTTCATTGTACGCACCTGTAGACTATGGCATACATAAATGTGTAAGATGGAAGTGTTTGTGCCCTGTGAGACCAGATTTTTAAAATGTTCTGGGCCTTGTTTATAATCACTTTTCACATGGTGCTATCTAACTCATATTTAAGGTCTATCTCACATTTACAATACACTTTCTTATCAAGTTGCCATTTAGGTAAGAAATTCTAGATTTTGGCTTTTTATAGCTATGAATTTTAAATCCAGGGAAAACCTAGCCTTGTATATACCTCTCTTTCCCCCCTCGCCTATTTTCGGCCAAAGGTATTAAAAGAAGTTTTTTGATGCCGAAACCGGTTTGGCTCAGTGGTAGAGCGTCGGTCTGCGGACTGAAAGGTCCCGGGTTCGATTCCGGTCAAGGGCATGTGCCTTGGTTGCGGGCACATCCCCGGGAGGAGGTGTGTAAGAGGCAGCTGGTCGATGTTTCTCTCTCATCGACGTTTCTAGCTCTCTAGCTCTCTCCCTTCCTCTCTGTACAAAATCAATAAAATATATTTTTAAAAATAAATAAATAAAATAAAATAAAAGGAGTTCTTTGAGAAATATCGGGTCAGAGGTCCTGGTATTAAAGTCCCTTTCCCCGCCCCTTTTTCCCAGCAGACCTTTCGCTCTGTTTTAACCTCAGTCTGGTCTCTTACTAGACAAGCGGGTGGTCTCCAGAGGTACCTGAGCTTTGCTGCCTAGTACACTGTGTGTGGTGTTTTCCACCGGAAAACTAACCCTTAATTACTGCAAAAGCAATCATTTTCATCTCTCTGCTACACCCCACTTCCTCTCTCTCTCATTTTACCCTCATTTTTAGGAGAACAAACCTAGATATGTTACCTTTCTGTGTTTAAAATATCTTCTTTTGGTTGCTTTTCCTTTTAAAGATGTTATTAGAAGCTATCACCATGCATACTGGCTTCTTAAAGAGACCTAAAAAAATATGTGGAAAGTTTACGAATCCTATCTAATAAGAGAATAATATGCAAATTGACCATCACTCCTGCTTACCCCATACTGGGGACAGAGCCCGTGGTCCAGGCCTGTGCCCTGACCAGGAATCGAACCGTGGCCTCTTGGTTCATAGGTCGATGCTCAACCCCTAAGCCACGTTGGCCAGGCATCTCTGTTTTCTGACCTCTATTGATGCTTCACAAATTATGTTGGATTCTTGTAACAGTTGTGATGAAGTGTCTGCATTGATTTGTCTGCCGGTTTTTCAATGTGATCTGTGCTAACTGTCAATGGTTGTGAGAGCTCTGCTCTCGTAGCTTCTATGCCATTGTCTGCTTCAGCATCTGCTCTCCGTGTCAAAGCAGCGGCTCATACAGAAGATGCTTTGTCGTGTTTTTACATGTAAACAGCTTTTCCCCAATCATAGCTTAACAGGATGTTGAGTGCCAGAGGTAATGTTTTCTTTCCGCCATAAAGACATAATTTCCACGCAGGAGTTATGCACGTTTGTATGTTGGGAAAAGAGACTTTCTATCATCTCCATGTTGAAAGTCCATGTGGCATGAAGCAATCTTTTCCCTTAATTTGTTTTTCTTGTTGTTAGTGTTGCTGTCATTTTTTAAAAATCCATTATCTTCACTCGAATGAGAAATATTTGCGGTTAAAAGTACCTACGTTCAACATGTCTGAATAGAGCTTGCCTAGTTGTTCACCATTAGTGACTTTTTCATCTGAATGTTTATTCACCATGTTACAGAAAACACAGTCTTTCGATTATTTTTAACTGTTCATTGTTTTTAATTTACCAAACGGTAATGTTTTATCTTTAAGGAGTAGTAGACTTACGTTTATTTGTGAGGTCTGTGTATGTCGGTTATTGAAAGTCGTGATGTGCTCTCATAGTGTTTTTTGAAATCGTGATTTTTACTTTATCTCCTTTAACAGATGACATAATAATTCTCTTTTTAACAATTAAACTAATTTAGTAAATTCAAGATGGAGGCGCTTTCCTACTGACTATGCTTCCACCTCAGAAGATGAATTTGGATCAAACCGTAACTCCCCTAAACATACCCGTCTACGTACTTCTCCAGCCCTGAAAACGACACGCCTGCAGAGCTCTGGGTCAGCCATGCCTACGAGTTCTTCATTCAAACACCGGATCAAAGAGCAGGAAGACTACATCCGAGACTGGACCGCTCATCGCGAGGAGATAGCCAGGTTGGTGTCAGTGGGTTCTCGCGAAGGGTGGACATTGGGTGTAACCAAGTTTAGCTGTCACTTGATTTGTACTAACAGTCCAAGATGTAAGATCCACAGGTAACTGTGAACATGGTTTTGTCGGAAGGATTACTCTCCATTCATTTTTTTTTTTCCTTTCGTATTTCTAATGCCACTATTACTAGCATATTGTGGACTGAATATCTTTTGATTACCTTTTTATTTATAATAGAGATGCTGATGAGTCAATATACTTTTTGAGAGGTAGTTGGTATCAGCTCTACATAAGTAGAAGAATTGCACAGCTAAATTTTTCATTACTTTTCTTTTAAGAGGTAATAGTGTACTCGTTAGAGGTATGTGGTTAATGTTCTCTGTGAAGGATTAGAGTAAGCAGATTGTACTCACATTTAAGAGTTTATTAAGTGTAGTTCAGCCCTTTAATTAAATCAAAATATGTTTATTTTCTATGTTAAATAAATTTATTGTAACTTTTAGGTCAATGTAATAAAAAGTAAAATTCTGATGTGACTTTTTATTGCTAACTTGTGGGGGAACAGTGAGAGAGGCTATAATCAAACAGATGCTATAGTGATTAAAATATAATTTTTTAAAAATTTGTAAGATATTAGGGGAATTTTATTGCCATATGCCTTATGTTATCTAAATGTTTTCATCTTATCCATGCAAAAATTATCAAGTTTTACACTTGGCAACATTATTAAAGAATTATATATGTGTCCATAGGTGCTTAAAATACACACACAAACTTATAACATAATGGTCTTTATCTTTTTTTCTTTCCTCTAGTGACTCCTATAAGTTGTGTCTTTTCTGCTGATTGTTTTAATGTAATGATTAGAGTTGGATTTTTTTTTAAATGATGATTTACTTGTAATTGTTTGTACCTAAGAATCTCAGCCAAAATTTTGTTCGCGTTTTCAGTCCAAACACAATTATTTTAAAATATTTTTTTGTTCTAACAGTAACAACATCGGTGCAGTAGTGGTCTGGTTTTTTTTGTTGTTTTTTTTTTTAATAATGAAATGATTATTAAATAAATGTATCCCAGAAAACCCACCAGTCCTATTACCTGATTTGATTAACCCCAAAATAGAGTCATCTGATATTTCAAGACAAGAGGAAAAAAGGCTTTTGTTATGACTAAATCTTTTACACATAATATTCTTATTAGTGAAATTCAAATAAAAGGAATACTGAGCAAATATATTTTAAAACGATTAAAAATAAAACTGTGTTTTATATTTTTCAAGCCTAAAATATTTACAATTAAAATTATGAATACGTTTATTCTTAACAGTAAAAACCCAAATTGCTTGTAATTTTTACAATACTAAAAGCTTTTTTGTTGTTGTTTTTTGTAATAGCCAGTTTAATTTTGTGACCAGAATTAAGCGATGTGGGTTTCCTTATAGTCTACAAAGTAATGCAATGAAATATATTTATGCATTACAATATTTTAATTTAAAAAAGCCTTTTAATTGCACTATAATTAAAAGATATACTACAGTTGGGTGTGTGGGTGGAGGTGAGCTTTGAAAATAGTAAAGTATTATGTCTTTTGAAGAAAAGACTATAAAGATTAAAATTTCCTTATCAGGCAATAAGTATATATCTGCTCAGTTTTAAGACCTAATTGATTGGTTCAAAGTAGTGAAAGTGTAGGCCAAACTGTTTCTTTTATTCTGTTGGGCTAGGCCAGCTCCAAACAGCAAGAATGGGGATAGGACACCTGTTCAGACATCAGCTACTCTTCAGTTTTTCCACTTTTCCTAGTGCTTTGCTTCCAGCATTGTCTCTGACCTGAAGGCACCTTATGCTACTTGCACTATCTCAGATATTGCTCATTGAATGAGGACTTTGTGTCTCTGGTGGAAATGGGATGTTTAATGTTTTTCCATGAAACTGTTCTCATTCAATTAGGAAATGTCTGATGGCCAACAGTATGCTGAGGCCTTCAAAGTCATCCTCTTGCCATTACCTTTTTATTTATGACTTGCTCGGTTTATTTGAAGCGTCTTCATAAGCCTAGCTTTAAGACTCTTTCTACATTTCACCAAATTATAAGTTATCATTGATGCTAAGCTAGCATTTGGAGTTAGTTTCATGGACAATAATGGGATGTACCTTTTTTAAAAATAACCAAATACCTACCCCTTTTGAGGGCCAGGAATAGATTCTATGTACTTTATCCCTCTAATTGGGCCAGTCATTTAATTGCTCTGGCTGCCGAAGAGAAGTCTCCAATTTCAGCTCATTATTAGCCACCCTAAGCCAGTCTTTTGTGGCTCTGATGCCCCATTTGTCCCAGGTCCCAGGCTTTCATTGACTGTCTACACGAGATGTGGTTTGCTATCATTCTTTCATTAAGGTTTTGCAACATTGGGTCAAAAGCCACCAACATGTCATAAATATACCTGACAGTTTCCAGCAAACAAAGAGGAATATCTTAGCAGTAGGAAGCTTTTGAGCATACCCTATGGTCTATATGTAGGTTAAATATTTAACCTATATGGGAGTTAAACTTTAAGACTGTTGAGAGGTTGACTTTTTCTCATGCTATATATTATCGTCAGATTCAACATAAGCCGGTCTGGAATGACCCTTAAAAATGTCCCTTCATAAACTAATTTTATATGATAATTTTTGTCATTTTAATACTAAACCGGTGTGGTTCAATGGTTGAGTGTCAGCCTAAGAATCAGGAGGTCATGGTTCCATAAGGTCAGGGCTCCATCCCCAGTAGGGGGGTGTGCAAGAGGCAGATGATAGATCGATGATTCTCTCTTATCATTGATGTTTCTCTTTCTCCCTCTCCCTTCCTCTCTGAAATCAATAAAAATTACAAATTTTTATTTTTATTTATTTTTTAATATATTTTTATTGATTTTTTTACAGAGAGGAAGGGAGAGAGATAGAGAGCTAGAAACGTCAATGAGAGAGAAACATCGACCAGCTGCCTCTTGCACACCCCCCACTGGGGATGTGCCCGCAACCAACGTACATGCCCTTGACCGGAATCAAACCCGGGACCTTTCAGTCCGCAGACCGATGCTCTACCACTGAGCCAAACCGGTTTCGGCAAAAATTATAAATTTTTAAAAGAACAGGCATTGTAAGCTTGGATTTAGAAGAAAAGCAGATACAAGAGGTAAGCCTAATCTATAAGCCTAATCTAGAAGCATCACATAATTTGTAAGCTTAGATTTAACAAGCATATGAATAGATTCATAACCTATATTGCATTATAAATTTGCTATTTCTACTTGAACATATTCACTATTTTTTTATAATTTGCCTTTTACTAATACTGTTTTTAGTAGATGTTGAGTGTTTTAAGCAGTGTGGATTTAAATTTATTTAATGATCTATGTTATTAAGTCAATAAGATAGGAATTGCCATGCATAAAAACAGCTGATGTATACACAGCATACTTGCAAATTAAAAGAAGGCTTGTTTGGTGCTTATTGTACACACATGATTTGTTCATTTTAGTACAATTTCAGTGTAATGTGAGTAACATGTTGAAATTGCTGTGGTCTGTGTTGTTTCTAATTAACTCATACTGCTTTCTACAAATGTCAGAAATTTCATTGTACAAATGTCTGCTTAAAAACCTTAAGAACAAATTTATTTGTGTATGATTATTTTTTACCTCATTAAGCCTGGTTATTCTGTTTCTCGTCCTTGTTATTTTATTTCAGGAAATTGCAAGAACTGAATAAATCATCTGAGGGGACACTTTAAACCTTTTCTCAAAAGAATTACATCAACATTTAACAAGTTTTGTTTTTTTTCTCAATTATGTATGGAATGGTAATGTCAGATGTAGCAGGACATAAAAAGATCTAGTTAGATCACTTACTATTTGTGACCTTAACCAAAACTGGTCACATAACCTTTCCTAAGCCTTATTTTCCTCATCTGTAAAACAAGATGATAAAACCTCTCTTACAGGTGGCTGTGAGTTTATGAATATAAAGCTTTGTAATGCTGCTCATCCTATATAATAAAAGGCTAATATGCAAATCGACCAAACAGCGGAACAACTCATCACTATGATGCTCACTGACCACTACAGGGCAGACACTCAGTGCAGCAGCTGCCCCCTGGTGGTCAGTGTGCTCCCACAGGGGGAGCACCACTCAGCCAGAAGCAGGACTCACAGCTGGCGAGCACAGTGGTGGTGGCAGGAGCCTTTCCCACCTCCATGCAGCACTAAGGCTGTCCGACTGCCGGCTTAAGCTCGCCCCCCCCCCCCAGTGCACGAATTTTGTGCACTGAGCCTCTAGTTATAATATAATGGTTGTGATTATATTATATGTTTTATTATAATGGTACTCATTACATTATTCTAAGCTTATTAGGAGGACCCTAACTGCTTCTTCACCACTATAGCTCTTAGGGCCATGCACAGTGCCGGGCACATGATAAGGGACCAGGAACTTTTCACTCTGGTAGATAAAACAGGAATTGACCACAGATTGCTTCCGTTGGGCCATAAGCCTCAACCTAGCTTCTCTTTTTAAATTTATAGTTAAAATTCTATGCAAATACTCCATTCCTTGTCAGTCTGTCAACGTGACATTTTTGCATAAGTTAAAAACAAATGCTACATTGTCCTTTGGGTTTTAAAGTCTCGGGGAGCTTACCAGGTGCTTTTAGAATGTCTGTCTTTTCAAAACCTTTCCTGTGGAAGCAGCCAACATTGAGTTCATGTGCAGCCGATGTTTGAAGTTGGAAACTTTGAAGTCATTGGATTGAAACCTTTTGGAGGAAAACATTAGTATCAGTGGTAGATTTTGTGAGTTCCTCCCTCTTAAAAACACAGCAGTAGCCGCCCGGCGTGGCTCAGTGGTTGGGCACCGGTAAGCAGTTATTTAGTTCCTTAAGGAAATGAGCTCATGTTCATAAAGAATGAAATAATTTATCAGCGATCATCAGAGGACCTGGGTGTGGCCCTGCCGGAGCTGCCTTCTGAGTGAGCCACCAGCTTCTCTCAGAACGTGTCCTCATCCATAACCAGTGAGATAAGTCCCCCTCACAAAAACACCGTGGCCCCTTGTGAGGTGTGTGTACTCCAAAGTGATGTACACGGCAGCATAAAGTGCTCGCCGCAGTTCTTGTACCGGGGACCCCTTTGGCCATCTGCGGAATCTACAGAGCTCTTCTCGGGATAATCTACCTAAATCATAAACGTGGAATTGCACAGAAATGCAATTATATTGAAATACTGGGTAGTTATCCAAACACCACCGAAGCGGCATGGTTACATCCAAGGGGTTCCGGATTACAAGAAGGTGCAGGCCGGGCTGAGGGACCACAGCGGTGCACGAATTCGTGCACCAGGCCTCTCGTAGCAACATAGTTCTTTGTTAAAATACCGAAGTGAACATCATTGCTGAGTTTAATGACTGCAGTAATTTTGAAGTAGTGATGACTAAATGTTTTGAGTTACTCTGTAGCAACTATAATGTGATTTCTGTTGGTGTCAGAAATCACCAGTATTGCTACTACTACTATTGTTTGCTGCTTGTATTTATAACTGAAAATGCTAGGCTTCTGTTAGAAGTTAGCGAAAATAAAGTTGTCATGCTTTTTATCATCCAAGTGTATTTTAAACAAACGTATCACTACTTCAGGGGTTTAATGTATATTTTTCAAAATAACAACTTGAGATTGTATGGAATTTGGTTTTATTCATTTAATTTTTTTAATACTCATTTTTTTTTAATGTATTTTTATTGATTTCAGGGAGGAAGGGAGAGAGAGAGAGAAACATCAATGATGAGAATCATGGATCGGCTGCCTTCTGCACACCCCACACTGGGGACCAGGCCCGCAAACTGGGCAAGTGCCCTGACTGGGAATCGAACTGTGACCTCCTGGTTTATAGGTTGATGCTCAACCACTGAGCCACACAGGCTGCGGCTTATTCACTTTAAAAAAAAAAAAAAAAAAAAAAGTTTAATATTCTGAACATCAAAATAGTTAACACTTCTGGAGAACCTTGTCCTTCCGGCTCTTCACCTCTAGGGGGCAGCATTTGCTTAACATTGCTCCAGAAGGTACTACACAGGTTTAGATGTACAACCGACATCACTGGTTCCATCATAAGTGATGTTTCTAGATCAGTTATGGAAAAGGGATGAAACTTCTTTTTACATTGTTCCAGGATCAGCCAAGACCTCGCTCTCATTGCTCGGGAAATCAACGATGTAGCCGGCGAGATAGACTCGGTGACGTCCTCAGGCACTGCCCCCAGTACCACAGTAAGCACTGCCGCCACCACCCCTGGCTCTGCCATAGACACTAGAGAAGAGGTAGGAGAGCCTCATGGAGAAATGCATAAGGTTCTTTCTTTTCTTTATTTCTTTTGCTTTTCGCTTTTTTGCTCAGTTTCTTTTACTTACGTCTGCCCGCCCTGTTTGCACGAAGCTCTGCAATTTCCACCCTCGCTCTAACAGATTGCTTCCATGTGTGTGTGACAACACGAGTGAAGACTAACACTTGTCTACGACTAATATGGACATGATGAAGTTGTGATGTTATTTACAATAAGTACCTTGCTAATTATTGGTGCATAGTTTCACTTAAAATATGAATATAAATGGTATGTGAAAAGAAAGTCAGAATTTGATGAATTGCTGTATAAAGTTTCTGTAAAACTTGGCTATGAAAATACTTCAATTAAAAAGGTATTTTCACAGCTAATGAATTAGGAGATGGCTCTAATGGCAAGGAAAGAAAAATTCTAGTTTCACTTATACTCACAAACATATATATACACAAGACCCTTTGAAAATTTACATGTGTGTATATTATATTAGTATGTGTATACATATATACACATATATATGTTCGTACACACACACTCACACACACACAAATACATATATACATTTTCAGTCTTGAAACTTTCTGGTAACTGTGAAATGTACACAGGCTATTGTCCTTCCTGCTTGCCACCTCTAGAGGGCAGCATTTGCTTAACATTGTTCCAGAAAGTACCTTTAACACAATGTAAAATTGATGGTACTCTGGTCATATTGGCTATCTTGATTTGGTGCAGAAACACAAGCAAAAGATTGGCACTTGAAAGAACGGATTAATTGATTAAAGTTTTATTAGGACAAAGCCACCCTCATTGTTTAACGATATCAGAATCCAGTAGTCAGAGACTGGATGGCCTCAAACTAAAATATTTATTCCCTGGCCCTTTACAGAAAGATGTTTGCTAGCCTCCAATATTGATGATCCCATATCCTTAATTTATGAAATAATGTTCCCAATATTAAAATGGCTAGCCTTTAGGACAAGTTTAATTCTGGTAAACGATTCTAATAATACTGTCATTGGTTGCTTCTTGTCACATTCCTTTTATAGTCTGATTCTTAAATGGTCACTGTTTCGTTGTTTCCCCCCCCCTTTATGTGTTGCCTAATTTGGTAAACGGTGCTTCATCAGTCTGTGTAGTTTTGTTACCATGTTGATCAACTGTATATGTATATGTATATGAAATGATCCTTTTTTGGTAAAAAAACAAAAGAATCTTCTTGGTGGCAAGACATACACAATTTTTTCAGTACATTTAAAATAATAAAGATAATATTTTCTCAGCTGTCTAAGTCTTATCTAACATGATGATTCATTCAGACCCAGTGAAATTATTCATACATTTCATTGAATAGATGTTCATTTTTCTTTTTTATTTCTGAATACTGTACTAGAATATATTCCTTCTTCAGTAAACCCGAGTTACTTTGTATTGTAAGTGTATAATTTGAACTGTAGGTGGCAGTATGTTCTTTTTGTTAGACGACGTAATTTCTGTAGCACTGCTAAAAATTTATTTAAGACCAAAATACTTATTTTGTAGATTTAAAATTTTTTCCTTTTGTAAATTTAATTGGAACTTGCAATTTATGCATCTGTGAAGAAATTTAGCACCTGGATTTGGGGAGGGGAAAAAAAAAGGAAAAACCAAGATAGGAAATTAAAGAAACAGAACCATTATTTTACACTGGTAAGACAATGTGGGTAATATGAACTCCTTGTCCATCTACATGGCTCGGCTTTTTCAATTTACCATCCATTTTCCATTTGGGGGAAATCTTTTCCATGGAAGAATCAAATTGTTAATAGCTCTATATTTTGGATTTTGAAAATAAAGCCTATGTAGATGAACATCTGTTTTATTATAAAAGACACCGTTGGAGTGCTTATGAAAAGAAAGAGTAATTGGTTTATTGAAGATACCATGCTTCTCTTACTGCCTGAGAATGAAATAACCTCTGTCTAATCATAACAAATGATAATGCCAATATCTGTGCTTTTCCAAGTTATTCTCATAAGGGTTTGCTCTTGTCCTATTAGTTGGTCGATCGAGTTTTTGATGAAAGCCTCAACTTCCGAAAGATCCCTCCGCTGGTTAATTCTAAAACACCGGAAGGGAACAACTGTCGGGCTAACGATTCAAGGCTTCAACCGCCAGAGCTTCCCGATCACTTAACCATCACGAGGCGGAGGACCTGGAGCAGAGATGAGGTGCGTAAACCATCGGCATCAGCTAGCGGCAGAGCGGGATGTCCATCTGGGGGGCAGGAGGAACTGTTCAATAACTAGGCTGCAGAAAGTGCTTGTCTTTTTTACTTTTTAATATATTTTTATTGATTTTTAGAGAGGGAGGGAGAGAGAGAGAGAAACATCAAGATGAGAATCACTGATCGGCTGCCTCCTGCACGCCCCCTACTGAGGATCAAGCCTGCAAACGGGCATGGGCTCTGACAGGGAATTGATCGGTGATGCCCTGGTTCACAGGTCAATGCTCAACCACTGAGCCACCCCAGCCAGGCAAAGTACTTGTCTTTAGGGGTAGAATGAATTTTCATCTTGACATCACTTCATATACAAACAACTCCCAATGAATCAAGCTTTAAAGGGTGAAAGCAAGACTCTAATAAAACTTTTAGTAAAAATATTAAGTATCTTTCGACATGCATTTAAAAGACACAAAAAGTTTTGACTTTAAAACATGGATAAACAAATATATTAAACATGCTGCTGACAAAGGATTTGTATCTGTAATATATAAAGAACCTTACCAATCAGTTAAAAAGATAAAATAATCCAATAGAAAAATCTGTTTAAAAACCAAACATGGACAGTATTTCACTGAAAGGAAAACACCCAAGAGCTGATGTGCAGAAGGGTCCAGCTCCCAGCGAGGGGGCAGGTAGGAGGAGAATATAGAAAGGCCGTTGACAAGAAGGATTTGATCCTATGTTGGCATCGGTGGATCCCTGGGTTGAAGGATTAGGAGGTAAAAGCTAGTATACATGAACATGTGTGTTTGCAGTAGCACGGAGTAGTGAAAAACTACGTCTGAAGGCCCAGCTGGTGTGGCTCAGTGATTGAGCATCGATCTGTGAACCAGGAGGTCACGGTTCGATTCCAGGTCAGGGTGCATGCCCCGGTTGTGGTCTTAATCCCCAGTGTGGGGCATGCAGGAGGCAGCCAAACAATGATTCTCTCTCATCACTGATGTGTCTATCTCTCTCCCTCTTTCTTCTCTGAAATCAATGAAAAAATATATTTTTATATCTCCCTCTGATGGAAAAGCATGTGGCTAGCTCCTTAGGCACAGTTGCAGAATGCTACGTGGGCCTGGCCTGGCCTGGTAATTATTTGTTGTTCTTGGACCTGTTCTCTCTTCTTATCTATAGTCATTCTGCCCTAAGGTCCAGGAAGATAAATTCGTCTAAATGTAATTAAACTATGTGGAAGAAGTTATATTCTTAAAGAGAATGGAAGCATCTAGGTTGATAGTTATCTCCAGGTTAATATCAGAAAATCTTCAATATACTGTGACAGTGAGCTGCCCTTTATGGAGTAGAAAGAGAGATATCCTGTTTTAATCTTTCCTCAGCCTGCCTTGCCGTTTCTCACTTCATCCTAATCAATGTGTCTTCCACTCTTTGGATTGGATTCCTCAAGGCTCACCACTGCCACTGCTTCTGGAGCCTTCCATTGCCCATTGTTGCTTTTCCCATTCTAATTAACCCTTTATTCCCCTAAATTCAAGTCCCTGTCATTCTCCGGAACTACTTTTCCTGATGCCTTATTCCTGCCACCCTCACAGAAATCCTTCTCATTCCAACATTAGGCACTTGCTTACATTCTTGGGTAATAGCTGTATTTCCTTTATATTATTTTACATAGGTCTCTAACATCCTAAGCCATGTGTGACTTTCTGGTTTTCTTAGAGTCCAGGTGCAGTTCTCAGCCCAAGGAGCTGATTTCAAAACCCACCACTGAGCCCCCAGTTCAGTGCTTTCCTAGCGTTTTGCGCTAGCTGGGCCTGTCACCTGTTGCTGGCAAGTGCTATTCCTGCAGCCACACCCACTGGCCTGTGCAGTGAGAACTCAGTAGTGATAGAATCTTCACTCTCTGGCCCTTTGCAGAAGTTTGTTGACTTCTGGTTTTTTGTTTGTTGTTGTTGTTGTTTTAATATATTTTTATTGATTTCAAAGAGGAAGGAAGAGGGGGAGAGAGAAATAGAAATGTCAATGATGAGAATCATTGATTGGCTGCCTCCTGCATGCCTCACACTGGGATGGAGCCCACAACCCAGGCATGCGCCCTGACTGGGAATCAAACTCTGACCTCCTGGTTCAGAGGTCGACACTCAACCACTAAGCCACACCAACCGGGCCTGAGCTCTGGTTTTACCCGTGAATTTCATCTGGGGAGGTACCAACCGCCATTACATTTTGGGCAGATTTTTAAAATGTGTCTCTCCCACTAGACTCTGCCCTGGAGAACAAGAATTAATAATCTTCGTCATCTCTATATTCATATGATTTGTTGACAGAATAGCTCGTAAATGTAGTCTTCTCAATTCTTGATGCTTTCCCTTTTTTGGTAATTTCATTGGGGGCATGAGAGACAGGATCATGCTAGTAATTGATGGTAGGATAACGGATTGATGTCTGAAAGGGATATGACCCAAACAATAGGTCAACTTTACAAGTCAGTTAATAAAAAGGAACTTCTTTGCTAATATTTCTTTCTCTTTTAATATGGTCATGCATTACACTAATTACATTCTGCCTCGGTCTTTGATTATAACTGGCAAATTAAAGGCCCCTAAACACGATGAGCTGTGCTTGCTGGTGAGTCAGAGCTGAGGGGATGTGTAAACTCTGCTTTCTCTCTGCTGTCAGGTCATGGGAGACAATTTGCTGCTCTCGTCTGTCTTCCAGTTCTCCAGGAAGATCCGGCAGTCTATAGACAAAACAGCTGGGAAGATCAGGTACTGTTGTGCTGCTGGATCTCCCTGCTTTTATTAGTAACAGTTGCCTGTTCGTTTTTAAAAATATATATTTTTATTTATTTCATTGAGGAAGGGACAAGGAGAGAGAGAGAGAAACATCAATAATGAGAGAGAATCGTTGATTGACTGCCTCCTGCACACCCCCTATTGGGGATGGAGCCCGCAACCCGGGCATGTGCCCTGACTGGGAATTGAACTGTAACCTCCTGGTTCATAGGTGGATGCTCACCACTGAGCCATGCTGGCCGGCCTGTTCCACATTTTTCAAGCCTATTAGCACCATGCCTAGGAACTGGTGAAGCCCGTGGCAATGACTCTTATTCTGCCTCCACCATGACCCTTGCTTTTTAGATAGAAGTAATAGCCAAGAGCGAGATGAGCAGCATGAAGGGGACAAAAAGAGAAATAAATGTCTTTTATCATTAAAAGTGAACAGCTATACCACTCAGTTTAATTCAATTAGTTACCAGAAACAATTTCCCACATTATAATGGTGTTTTAAAATAACAGACTTTTGAGACTTCTATTATAAGACCTCAAACTTTCCTCTAGTTTTATCTTCCTCATCCGTGAAGGGGTTAGTGTGTGTACTACTTAAAGACGCAGAAAATGTATGTAAAAAGGCTTTAGGTCCTGGCAAAATTCACTGACTCGCCAGCACTATTTGGCTAAGGCCAAACTTCCTATATATCACAAGTCCATTATCACTCTAAGTTGATCCATGAAATAGTCATTGTTTTCTGTCTTCCCACCAGTCCTAATACTGTTAAGACTGTTTTTGCAATGCACAGGACAATTTAACTGCAATAATAGCCTGGTCATTAGGATAACAGCTCTTAGATGTCTGGCAAGGAGGTTTATTTTGGAGGTTTCAAAAATTCAACAGTCGATCAGAATGTTCTTGTATCAGATTCTAGAACCATTAGTGCCTTTTGAAACATGGTTATGTGTAAATGTTGACTTGATAGTGATGGATTTCTTGTTTTCAAATAAGCTGAACCTGGCTTACTGATCTTTGAAGAAATGCAAATAAGAAATGTACTTACTTGCACAGTATTGATTCTTATATAAGGCAGTTAAACTAGATTTCCAGGCTCGGTGAAGAAATTTACAAAGAACGGAAGGATGCCTCGTAATTGCATCTCTAAATCTGCTGAGTCATGTCTCAGATCCAGAATCCTGGGGGAGGAGGATTCCATTCCACCTCTGAGTGGCAAATCAGAATTTTGTGGTACTTTATAAATGAACATATTTGAGTTTAGTTTCTAAAAATAATTATCTTTACTGACGATTGTTTTATCAAAAGGAAGATTTGTAAAGAAAAACACAGTAAGCACATCAATTTTTAGTCTTTAAAATAATGTTTACACTTTGCTCAACCAATGGGATTCCTTTTTCTGTAGGAAGAGGTCTTAGGAGACAATTATTCATACCTCCTTCAACCTATTTTTAACTTAATTTCTTCTTTGCTTATATTACGTACGTTCTCTCTAAGCCAAGTTGTGTTTTCTTATAACTGATGGTCAATTATAAATATCAGATACAATTTGGAGTGTTATATCATCTACATTTGTTTTATATTTTGTTTTTAATAAAGAATGAGGTAAATACAAGAGTTTATGTGTATATTCTTAACCACTCAGTTACTTTCTTAATTCAGATCTCTCACATAAATGAGTTCATTAGCAATATTGGCTCAAGATTTAATTCACAGTTACATAATACTTAGTTGGTTCTTTATCCTTGTGTTGGCTTGAAGAAAGGTTTTGTTTTTGTATTGTTAAAATGTGATAGGCTTCTACTATGAAAATTAAATTGCTTCTGTTTTTTTTTTTTAATTTATAGAATATTATTTAAAGATAAAGATCGGAATTGGGATGAAATAGAAAGCAAGCTAAGAGCTGAAAGTGAAGTTCCCATTGTGAAAACCTCAAGCATGGTACTAACTTTTCTGAACTATTAAAACATTTTCATAGCAGTGTTTTATTTTAAGGGAATGATATGCTTAGTTTTGAGCTTTTAGTTAATATACCTTTTTGAAGGAAAATGTAAATGCACGTTTTAGTAATTTTATGCCTTAAACCAATTCTCATAGGAGTTTAAGATATTGATTACTTCAAAGTTGTAAAGCAAGCATGTCAAACTCAGAGGCTAACACAGGCCAAACAAATGAGGATAGAGGATATGGAGGGAGGAACTTTTATGTTTCTTACAATTATGCATTCGTGTTCTTATAATAATCATCCTATATGTTAAAAGACTAATATGCAAATTGTCCCCTTGGGAGTTGGACTGCTCGCTATGACATGCGCCAACCACCAGGAGGCGACATGGAATAAAGGAAGGCCCGGATCAGCTCTGTTCAGCTCTGTTCGCAGGGACCCTACCTGTGCATGAATTTTGTGCACTGGGCTCCTAGTATTTCATAAGTAAGCATTTTGAAAATAAGTTAACATGGCTCACTTCCGTTTGCTTAATAAATTGCATTTCTCCTCCTCATGAATTGCTATAGACTTTTCTTGATCAGAGAGTCATCCTAAAACTGCGGTTGGAAGCTTAGACATTTTCCCAAAGAAAATCAAATCCTTAGGCTCTTTTCTAAAGGTGCTCGAGGTTGATCAATATCAGTTTTTCAACATCTGTTCTTAATTTTGAACTTCTCATTTGCTATCATTTCATTGAAAGAAATAATTATATTTTTAAATTAATTTAAAGATTTTAAAATTTGAATCATGTTTACTGGATAGCCTATTTATTTTATATCTTGTTGCTACAAATGTAGTATCAGGCAGATAATGTTAAGTGTTCCAAATAAGATGAGTTTGAGAGGAATTGCCTAACAAATAAAAATGTTTTTCGTAAAGTAAGGTCATTTTTTTCATTTTTTTTTTCCTACAGGAGATTTCTTCCATCTTACAGGAGCTGAAAAGAGTTGAAAAACAGCTTCAAGGTAAATTTACTTCTGAATGAAGTAGAAAGAGCTAACAGTTTAAGACAGTGCATGTTAAGTGGTATTTCTTAGAATATTCTTACTATTAGAACATTATTTGATTAAATGTTATGGCATGGATAAAAATATAAATTTGAACATATCCAAATTACTTATAAAAAGGAAGTTCAAAGCCCATTATAAATAATTAAAAAGACATGAAGTTCAATCTTGAGCATATTGCTAAATGTTATAAATGAATTTATAGTATTATATCTATTACTTACTATATGCAATACTAATGTGTGAAAAAGTATATAAAAAAAGTGTGTTAAAATATGCATATGCAGCTTAAAATGCTTACTGCAGAATTATTTATTTGGTTTGACAATTCTTAAGTTATATTTGTGGTATAATCCAAATGAACTAGTAGCACAGAAGATAATTGTGTGATGAGCAACGAGAAATGAATGCATCATGTTGACCACAGGGGCTGGAAGAGAGAGAAGAGGCTCCATTTGCCTTGAGAACTTTGACGTGCACTGGTGTGTGTCAGATCTTAATCATGCATTGATGCCTGTGTAGGTCTGACCCAGGAATCCCAGAGGTACAACAGGCCAATTTCAGAGTGGACTGCTAATTCTACTCTGTTCTTATTGTTTGAATTATCATAGACATGATATATTACTTAAGTGATTCTCAAACTTGATTCTCCCTCAACACACCTGAGGGTGTGGACATACCCCCATGAGTCAAAGTGGTTGCTCACGTAATGAGTGTTCGCTGGTGGAATGGGGTGTATTTTAGAAAGGGTCTCTTAAGTGATTCTTAAGTCTATGGTGCTTCCTTCTCCCAACTCTCTACTCTGTCCAATGCCAAGTTGAAAATCACTGACTACGATTTCTCCTCGTCCCCGCAAAGATCTTTTGGATTGAAAGCTGGTTTACCTGGCCTCTCCCATGGAGGTGGCAGGTCTGTTTGGCCCGTTGGGGCTGCCATAGTATCTAGGCAACGAGGGATGTCTCCATGGCACTGTGACACATCCACACTTGCACATGGCTGATGTCCTAGCACTCACACCAGCACGAGTGACAACATGTATGTCAGTTTCCCCAACCCTATCAGTAGCAGCTGACCCCCAGTTACTTGAGTGATATACAGTAAGGAGTATTCATTAAAATTATAATTTATCCCCTTGAAATAATGAAAGCAGATTTTAAAGAAATCGCTTCTGAATTCCACGTTTCTGAATCCCAGTCTTCCATCTGGCTCTGAAATGCCCATAGGGAGCTACTCCAGGTGCCAGGAAAGCGTTCAGGTCTGTGTGCTCTAGATCAGGCCCAGAATGATGGAGAGGGGTTTTCAGAACAGTATAGAAAGGGGTCGCCAAAATGAAGCATCACATAAAAGCATCAATAGTCAAAATATGCCCTAGCCAGTTTGGCTCAGTAGATAGAGCGTCAACCTGCAGACTGAAGGGTCCTGGGTTTGATTTCTGTCAAGAGCATGGACCTTGGTTGCAGGATCAATCCCCAGTGGAGGTGTGCAGGAGGCAGCTGATCCATGTTCCTCTCTCATCAATGTTTCTGACTCTCTATCCCTCTCCCTTCCTCTCTGTAAAAGTCAATAACATATCTACCGTATTTTCCGGCGTATAAGACGATCCCCCTAATTTTACAGTTAAAACATAGGTTTAGGCCTGTATTCGCTGTATAAGACGACCCCCCACTTCCGAGGCAACACCAGATCTTTTTTTAATAGACCGCCTCTCTGACTCTGGCCAATCTGAGCAGGCTTTTTTTCGTTACAAAAGTCATCTTATACGCTGGAAAATACGGTGTGTGTGTGTGTGTGTGTGTGTGTCATAAGCAATGTTCACATCCAAACTTGACTGCATCAACAGCTGTCTTTTTCCCCTTTTCCTTTTTCCCGCCAGCGATCAATGCCATGATTGACCCGGATGGGACCCTGGAGGCGCTGAACAACATGGGCTTTCCCAATCTCTTGCCGTCTCCCCCCAAACAGAAGCCCAGCCCCGTCAACAACCACGGCAGCCCGGGGCAGACACCGGCCCTGTGCCCGGCGGACTCGAGGGCTCTCCCCCCCGCCGCCGTGTCCAGCTCAGCCGAGTTCGAGAACACCGAGTCCGAGGCCGACTTCAGCATCCACTTCAACAGGTTCAATCCGGATGGCGAGGAGGAGGAGGTGGCCGTGCCCGAGTGACCCTCGGGGAAGCTCCCGGGGAAAGACCAGGAACCGCGGAGGCTGCGGAGCGTTCACTTGCACAAAACAAGACAGCTTGGTCAAGTACAATCTGGCTATCTCTGGCTTTTTAATGTTATTTATTTATTTCCTCCGCTGACGTGGCATCGCAGCCATCCTTGCAACCAACTCGGTGCGCGCGTAGGGAAAAGCACATCATGGTAATGTCGCCTTTCGTGGTTTCATGATTTTCAAACGGAACTAGATCATTGCATCCTCTCCCTTCCCCAATCTTCGTTTTCGGTTCCTTTTTTCCTTTAAGCCGTGCTGTGACCTACAAGCAAACTAAATACCTACCATTTCTGCCCCCCGTGTCCTCTGTGCCAAGCTGCTCCCCAAAATGGACTTCCTCTCCATCTGGACAGATTTGTTAACACTTATATTTGCTTCTTAATAACAGGATTTATATTAGTACCCATTACCGTTGGCTACAGCGACAGCTAACTGTCCACAGCCAAACTGACCTGCACAAGTCGTTCTTGTGTTCTAGAATTTTCCAACTACATGTGATTTACAGGACTCCGTAGCTACTCACATTGCCTTGGGGCTTACGGAGAAGAGCTGTTACGTTTGCACTAAGATTCGCTGGGAGTAGCAGGTGGACGCGTCTATATGTCAGTAAGGACTAACCGCCTTTTTGTACATAGCAGACTGGCTTTGTTCTCACCCACCGCAGTTTACTCCACTTGCAAAGAGATGAATTTGGCACTTTTTCAATATTCTTTCTTTTTTTTTTTTTTTTTTTAATGGAAGTAAGAGTTTATCTCTCCTTTTAGGGCAAATGATAATTAGAAAGATGAAACTAGACCCATAGCTTAGGTGGAGTATATTTTTAAAACTAAGAACATGTATATTGGTCCGGTGTTACCAAGTTTATATGTGACAGTTGGAAAAAAAAAAAAAATTCCCCTGAACTGATCATGAAGTGAAAATTGTCTTCATCAGGAGACCTGGAGAGGCAGTAGCCAGGAAGTTAGTTGGTAGTTTCACTCCCAAGCAATGGATTGCTGGTGCGTTTCCCTGTAGGACCCCGTAGAGAACCCCGTGTGTCTGTCTGACTCATCCCTGAGGACCCGTGAGAGGACATGACAAAGGCCTGGGCCTGAGTTACTAACCCGGAAGCCGATGAGAAATTTCTCCTATAAACCTCTTCCTTTCTCTTTCCAGTAAGCTCCCGTTCGGATAAGTTGAAAAAGAAAGCCACTGTCTTTGTGTTTCCAGAACACTTTAATTTGGGTGAATCTAATTCATTTTTTTATTAGCAGACTTGGAGTTTCCCCTTGACCCTCCCCCCCAGTCTATAAAGATTAAATTAATGAAATGGTCTTTAATAGTTCAGCAATAATCCTGTGCTACATTTAAGAAACGAACTGTGTACACTTCAGAAGCATACAGGATTTTACAAATCCTGTACCGTCGGGCCACTTAATAAAGACGCAAAAAAAAAAAAAAATCTTTTTTTTTTTTTTTTTTTGTAGAAATGTGCAAAAAAGATCTGCAGTGTAATGGATCTCCTATTTTTCTTTAATTTTTTTTAAAAAGGGTAAATGAACTGTTCTCCTAATGAAGCTAAGTTACCCCTGCTAATGAAGGAAACTGAAAAAAGGTTTTAAAGAGCATGATTGGAGAGACACAAGTGCTTTGAAAGAGTAAATGAAACATTAAAACACAGGGTCAGTCCATTTGAAGAAAAAATTCAAACATAATCACCATTGTTCCCTTTTTTCAATTGTTTGGGTACCGATTCTGCCCACTTGGCGAAAGCAGATTAGGAGTTGTTTAGGAAAATCTCGGCGTCTGTCTACTTACGTTATTGTTTAAGTGTTTACACAGTTTTGTTGAAACAGAAACATTTGGCCTTTTACTACGTTATTTTTATTTTTTATGAATACATTATTCTCCTTATTTATTTTTGTTACATTTATTACTTATGTTATTTTGTTAATGCATTTACAACTCCATTTTTAAATAAAGTGTTTCTGGAACTTTATGCGATGGTTGTATATTTCTTAGACCATCCGGATTGCTAATATTTCATCACTCTGCCAAATAACCATTTCTACCCCATCTCCCATTCTCATTGATGGGTAAGAGGAGCTGAAGACGGCCTTATTTTCTTTCTTTTTTTTTATTAATATATTTTTATTGGTATTGGAAAGGAGGGGAGGAGAAAGAGAGATAGAAACACCAATGATGAGAATCAATAACTGTCTGCCTCCCGCATGTCCCCTACTGGGGATGGAGTCCACAATCCCAGGCATGTGCCCTGACTGGGATTCAACCATGACCACCTGGTTCCATAGGTCGATGCTCAACCACTGAGCCACACCAGCCAGGCTGCCTTGATTTCTCTGGACATTTCTAAGCAAATCCTCCGAGACCAGGCCTCAGGCTGCCACATCAGATGACACCATTTGGCTGGGAATCTCTGACAGCTTCGTGTTTTACGTGTTTTTTTCAGAGATGGGCCCATGGCTGTGTCCATCATGCTGCCACAGCAGGAAACTGGCTCGGGGCCTGAGCCGAATAGAATCACAATAGAAAGCCACCGAGCAGAGTTTGAATCCTACAACTGAACTTGACTTTTTGCTTCAACTCCGGCCGCTCAGGTTCATCCTGTGTAAAATAGAGTGAGGGATTTGACTAGCTGGTCTCTGAGCTGCATTTCTGCTCTAGAACACCAAAGTCAAAGAGAAAATCTTAAAAATAACCAGAGAGAGAACAGAGGATTTTTTTGTTTTGTTTTGTTTTGTTTTTACCAAGAAGTGCCTGAATTGTTTCAAGTTACAAAAATGTCTTAGGACATATTTCCTTCCTTTTTAAATTTTTATTTTTGCTTAAAGAGTGTCAGTCAGTTCAAAGATTAAAATTGATCATGAATTTATGGCAAATCTAACAAGGAGAGGACATCATCACATCTACTCATCATGTACACTCAAAGCAGATAAAAATGTAAGAACTAGCTGCTGAAACTGGTTTGGCTCAGTGGATAGAGCGTCGGCCTGCGGACTAAGGGTCCCAGGTTCGATTCCGGTCAAGGGCATGTACCTTGGCTGCGGGCACATCCCCAGTGGGGGGTGTGCAAGAGGCAGCTGATCGATGATTCTCTCTCATCCATGTTTCTAACTCTCTGTCCCTCTCTCTTTCTCTCTGTAAAAAAATCAATAAAATATATATATTTTTAAAAATGTTAGAACTAAATTGGCATGAACTCTGAAACTGAGCTAGCATCCCTGAAAAGAGCAAAATCCATTCAGCTCGTGCAACTATAGACACTAGGGCTTCCAACTACTATCCAGCCCCTGTGTCTCCTGCTCTTACTCAATAAAATGTGTATGCTGCCGAAACCGGTTTGGCTCAGTGGTAGAGTGTTGGTCTGTGGACTGAAAGGTCCCGGGTTCGATTCTGGTCAAGGGCATGGACCTTGGTTGCGGGCACATCCCCGATGGGGAGTGTGCAAGAGGCAACTGATCGATGTTTCTCTCTCATCGACGTTTCTAGCTATCTCTCTCCCTTCCTCTCTGTAAAAAATCAATAAAATATATTTTTTTTAAAAATGTATATGCAATGGAGGTCTGAATGCCTAATGGAATTGCACAAGAAGATTTTAGAATTCCATTTTTCAAAGAGTTAGGTGTTTGTTTTTAATGGCTCTTTGGTCAATGACTGAGGTGTGATGTAGGGAGTCAGTGACTGAGGTGTGCTGTAGGAAGTGGACTGGAAGGACTTCTCCAAGCCCCTCTTGATAATCCATCACACATTACTTAACATATTTGCCTAGATTGTAGCCTTCACTGACTTCCAGAATTTTCCAACGATAAGGAACGTTCCTAGAGGAGAGGCGTGAGGGATTTGGGGAGAGGAAAATAGGGAAGAAGGAAAAGTTAGTACTGATGCCTTCTCAGGTCATCCCCTCATGGACCATGGGGGCGGGGGGTGGGGGGGGCGCTTGATTCCACCAGAGTCACCTAATGAGCTGGTAGACTGAGCACTGGAGGGGGAGGAGCAGTCACTCTCCAGCTCTCATCTCCCATTGGTCCAGGGCTGCCCCTGGGGCATTAAGGCTCTCACAGGTCCAGGTGATGCTGGTGTGAGTCCGGGCTGGTTCCCGCAGGTGTCATTCTGCATCATCAAACCTGCAGGGATTTACTATCGGGGAAATTGAGGGAAGAAGAGACTGAACATAAACTGCACCTATGGATGAGGACAATGGGGGATGGGGAGGGGGCAGAGGGTGGGGTGGGAACCTGGTGGAGGGGGGAAGAAATGAGGAACCTTTGTAATAATATGAACAATAAAGATTGATTTAAAAAAAAAAATAAAAAAAAATAAAAACAGATTCTTTAAAAAAAAAAAAAAAACCTGCAGGGCGATGCTACTGCACAGAGGAGGGGCCGCCAGGTTACCTCTTCTCGAAATCGGTTGCTGTAGCAACGGCTGCAGCGAGAGGTGGACCGAGGGAATGCGAGGCAGGACACGGATTCTGTCCCCTGCATGTACTCGGTGCAACAACGGTGGTGATCTGGGTTGCGCAAAAGGAAAACCAGTTTAGCTCTTTTTCAATCACCAAGGAGGGTTCTGGGCGAGTCCATGTCACTCAAGGAGCACACCTGCCCGTCCGGGCAGCTGACATTTCACATTCATGAAACAGTGTTATATAAAGCAAGTCATGCCGAAACCGGTTTGGCTCAGTCAGCGGATAGCGCGTCAGCCTGTGGACTGAAGGGTCCCGGGTTCGATTCCGATCAAGGGCATGTACCTGGGTTGCGGGCACATCCCCAGTAGGTGGTGTGCAGGAGACAGCTGATGGATGTTTCTAACTCTCTATCCCTCTCCTTTCCTCTCTGTAAAAAATCAATAAAATATATATATTTTTAAAAATAAAAATAATAAAGCAGGTCCTGCCCGGATTTCCCCAGAAAGCAGTGAACCCATCCCAGCCTCCCTCAGGAGTGTGCCCC